CTGGCATAGTTGCTTTAGGGCTTTTGGGAACCTTTTAAAATTAAATTATAAAATTATTAAAATTATCAATAAATTACAAATTATATTGTTAAAAGTTCATCTTAAATTGTGATAGTTTTAAGGAAAAGTAATGCACTTAGAAAAATACTTCATACCTCAAGTAGGTAGAAACTGAACAGATTATAAATATAGGGGAAACGCCTTGTTTGGAACAAACCAAATATCATTGGGTTAACAAATTCTGAGTTAATGCATACCTCATCTCATCTACTTTTTTGTACATAGGAATTTGGAGTAGTCTCCAATGCAAGATTGACTGCTGCTGCTACTTCTGTATGTAAGTGCAAAAAGTATATCTTGCTTTCTAAAGAAAATCCCATAATATATTTATGTTTTTTAGTTTATGAGATGTCAGATTGGTTGTGGTTATTTACAGCTCTCTAGGATACCTGTATGACTAGCATATTTGGCAAAACATAAAATTAAAAGATGTAACCACTTAAAATATTATCTTTAAGACATTTTTAATGTTGGGTTTTGTTTTGTTTTCTTTTGCGGAACCGGGGATTGAACTCAGGCCCTTGTGCTTGCCAAGCAAGTACTTATTCTACTGAGCCATCTCCCCGGCAAGACATTATTTTTAATGTTCAAAAGAATAATAGCTGTCCAAAATGATCACCTCAGTGGCTTTTATTTTATAAAGAAAAATTTCATTTCCTAATTTTGTTGTTTTTATTGTTTCCTAATAACCAGTTATTATTTCATTCTTATGGATTAACTTATGTCTTTTGCAACTGTAATGTATGTCTTTGATAGGAGTTTTACATTTTCAAACCTCCAAAGTGAAGAGCATGGCATAGGAACAAAAATACTTTTTCTGTAGTCAGGCTAACTTTTAAGCCCTAGTTCTGTCTCAATAGCTGTGTTCTCTAGGTACTTTAGTTCTTTATCTGAAAATAGACAGTTTAGTTATCTGTGAATTGACATTAAAGAAAATAGCATTTTAAAATAACAGTCTGTATCTATACCTCTGATACTGACTTTATAATTTAAGTATACCACCCTTACAGATACAACAAAAAAAGATACTACCTAACAAAAAACAGATCAGACTTTTAAAGTTCTTTCTGTAATCTGTATAGGAGAGGTAGAAGATGACATTTTGTGTTTTAAGTTTGTGACCCATGCTGATTTTTGTATTTTGGAGTTATCCCCCTATTTGAGAGGTATATTCCAGTATTTTCCATGTCATATATTAATTGTTTGGTTTTTGTTTTTTTGTGGCCAGCCCAGCCTGCCCTGGGGGCAGGGCTGGCATGGCATGTAGTGCTGGGGATCGAACCACAGTCCCTGCACTTACCTAAGCTTGCCCAAGCAGGTGCTTTTAGACCACTGAGCTATCTCACTGGCCATATCTTTTTTTTTTTTTTTTTTTTAATAATTTTATTGAGAAACAAATAGCAATGAGACAGTTCCACAACCGATCAGTAGGACTGTTTCAATAATAAATACATTGCACATTGTTGTCTCGTCGTTATTCATTGTACAAGATGCAGGGGAGTGTGATAGATAAAGGCATACAGATTGTATAGATAAAGGCATACAGATTCCTGACATCTAGTCTTTTTCCTCCCCTGAAAACATGACATCCTTTCCACAAACACTATTAGAACAAATCTTCTTATTCATTGAATTAAGAGAATGTAGCTATATATCTGTCCTATTTTGAATATACAGATACAAAATGGTCATTCATTTGTACCCCCTTTTTTTGTTTAGTTTTGTCAGAGAAGGGTATTCCATTGTCATTTAAATATTGTAGGTGCGTGAATTCAGCAAAATATTCCAATATAGTCCAGTAGTCCATAATAGTAGTAGGTCATCCGCAGGACTGGTAATGTCAGAAGTTGTTGACCTGAGCGCTTTACAGCCCAGCATACCAACATAGCTTCACCCCTTATGCCTCATTTTTATACCTTTCTGCTGGATGGTTAAGACCAAGACAAAGCAAGACCTATATAACAAGAAATGTAACTTTTGTATCTGGTAAGGTCAGTCAAGTCCCCTCAGGATTTATCCTTAAGAAGAAAGATCTGTACTAACAGTGTTTGGACAGGATATCATGTCTGCATCTTATGCTATGAATGACTACTACAAAAACAACAATATGCAACTTATTAATTGTTGTAACTCTCCTACCATCCTGTTTTGAAGCTGTCACATTGCAATTTTTTTCTCAATAAAATAAAAAAAATTAAAAAGATTTATCCTGAAACCCTGTACCGCAGTTTGTAGATCCTTTGTCAGTGTCAGCCATGTGGATGAGTCATGGCCATTGCTTGACCAGTTTGCTCTCTGTGAAAGCCTGAGAGAATGTTGTCTCTCCATGTGACTCACCTTAGGCACGATCACTTTCCTCTGTGGCTCCATAATCTCCTTGATCAGAAAATTTGGGACACAACTAAATTACACAACCTTATAGTATATGTTCTCCTGTGTCCTGAGTCTTCACTGACCTTGAAAGACTAGGGTCTCACTGGCCATATCTTAATTGTTAATCCATGCCATTTTAAGGAGATGGAAGACTGGTCATTAACATTGGGTTTTCATTTGTATTTTATTACATCTTTTGGATATAATGGATATAAAAGTTCAGAAAGGATAGATTAACTTTAAAAATTGTTACATCTTAAAGATAACCACTAAGAGAAATATATTATCTTTTCATCCTATAAATGCTATACAAATATATAACATTTGTAAATACTTAGAAGACCCCCCCCACAACACAAAAAAAAAAAACACACACACACAGGGAGATTTTTTTTTCAAGCCTTTAATTGTTTTAAGCAGAATTCTTTATGAATGTTTCTCATTGTATAGATAAAGGCATACAGATTCCTGACATCTAGTCTTTTTCCTCCCCTGAAAACAAAAATCTAGATCTATAAGCATTTTCAAGGGTATCTATTGAAAATGATTTAGCCTTACCCTGTAATATTCTACACTAGTGGTGGTGAACCTTATAGAACTTTCAGTGATAAAAATAGCCTACTGCAGCATGCATGTCATGAGTTCGCTACCACTGTTCTATACTGTGTTAAAGGAATTTTGGTTTAATTCACTTTTATATTTTTCTACTTTATATTGTTGTTGTTTTCTGCAGTAAAAACTAGATTTTCATATGCCTTCCCGAAGGAATTTCCTTATAGGATGAATCATGTAAGTATATTGTATAAAGTATTTGTCAAAACTATATATAAAAAATAATAAAAGATAAGAAAATAACAATATATAAATTAGCTGAATTTTACACTAGAATAAACTTAATATTTCTAGAAATAGCTTTATTTTTATTTTTTGAAATTAGTTTTAAATACCACAAGAATATAATACTCATATTCATTTAGATATTCATATTACTTATATTTGTAGATGTTAATTTTCATTAATTTATGTTGCTAACACTAAGTAACTTTTATTTCTTAAAAATACTTTGTAGTAGCAACTATCAACCATAGCAGCCCATTAAATCACCTTGAGGACTTTTTCATTGAGACCTCTCCATACAAACTATATCAGGGTTTTCAGGTTGGGACTCTGGCATTAGTATTTTCTAAAAGCTCCCAGGTAATGGTGGATGTAACTCACTGGTAGCGCTCTTTCCTTGCACATGCAAGGGCCTGTGTTTGGCCCTTAATACTGGGGGGGATAAGTAAAAATAAGGCTGGGCATAGTGGCACACAGCTGTACTTTCTCCTAGCTACCCAGGAGACTGAAGTTTGAGCCTAGCATGGGAAATTTAGTGAGATCTTGTCTGAAAAATAGAAATAAAAGGATCAAAGGTGGTAGTAGTGAAGGCCTCTGGGTTTAATCCCTAGTAGCACAGTAATAAATATCTGAAGTTATTACAGAACTTTTTAAATAACAAGTCATGAAAATGCTGAGCATTGTTAATTTATTCTTGTTTTAAAATTCTTTACCAAATGTATTGTTACTGGGATAGGGATGTAATTCAGTCATAGGGTGTGGGCTTAGCATGTATAAGACCTTGGCTTTAATCCCAAGCAAGATCACTCCCAAAAATAACTGTGTATGAGGGGTTTGTTTTTCTTTTAAGAATTTAAATGCTTTAAAACCATAATTTTATGAATTATATAATAGTAAAAGTGAATTTGTTGTCTTTGTCATAAGTGACTTTTCTTGATTTAAATTTTTTTAGTAAATCTGTTCGATGAATTGCTTTCTATAAGTTATATTACTGAGGAGAGTCATGTAATTGACACTGATAATATTTTTTTAACAGATACTAGAATGTGAATTCTATCTTTTAGAATTAATGGTAAGTGTGTTTTTTTCTTGTGACACAATAAAATAAATTTAATGAATTCAGAAATTAATGAAATAAATTCTAGGAAAGTACACTTAAAAACTAAGTGGTGTGTCATGTGATGGTGAAATCAAAATGACCTAGTAACATCATCACCAATCTCCTCTTTGAAGCCTGTAGAATAATTGGTGTAATCTACTCAGGATGGAAAAACTTTTCTGTTCTATAGTAACTATAATGTAGGATTATAAGCAAACAAGTCAGGACATTAGGCCACTGCAAATAATATACACAGTTTGTGTATGTGTGTGGTACTATTTAAAGGTAGATTGTCTTTGGTGGAATTCTGTTCCTCCAGTTGGGAATTACGGATTTATAGGCTAATAAGAGGTTTCAGTGTGTTGCAGATGTGACACTTTGAGTCTCTAAGGGAATGAATGGATGCTGACTGACTGCCAACCGATTTACCAAGGTATATTTCAGAGAGAGCCCTGCTTTCTCTATTACAGTAGAGTTAGGGCTGCCATAGGGTTTAAGAGACTAGAAAGGAAGCAAGCATGAGTTAGAGAAATTCATTTGGAAATACACGATGACAAATCAGTTGGGTAATGATATCTTTTTTGTGTTGTAATAAATCTGTTTTTATACATACACATTTTTTAAACTGTTTCTAGGATTGTTGCTTGATAGTGTATCATCCTTATAGACCTTTGCTCCAGTATGTGCAGGACATGGGCCAAGAAGACATGTTGCTTCCCCTTGCATGGTAATTAGAACAGAAGTTATTAATAGTGTGACACATTAATCAGACAGGGAGGCTGACTACTAAATGTGAAGTTCAGTATTTTAAAGTTACTAAACTAGTGCCCCAAGATACTTTATGCTGAGCAAAATAGCTATCTGTTGAATTTTAACACTACAGTAGTATAAATGCTCAAAAAATAAACATTGTGTGTATCTTTCTGCTAAATACACCTTTTAAAATTTGATTTGTATGAGTAAGACTACATAAAAATTAGAGCTGATTTGTCTTTGAGAGAACAGCGTATCTTTATAGTATTCCCCATACATATAAATTTTTATACTTTCAGAAATTTGATTTTCAGGGGCTTGCGGGTTAGCTCAGTTGTTTAAAGCACCTGCTTGGGCAAACTCAGCCAGGCGCTGGGGACTGCAGTTCGATTCCCACCTCCACAGGCTGCATTGGATCTGCCCTTAAGGCAGCCTGAGCCAGCCAAAAAAAAAAAAATTTTTTTATTTTCAAAGTTTTAAAAAATTATAAGCCGGGTATAGTGGCACATGCCTTTAATCCCAGCACTCAGGACTAGGCAGGAGGATGGCCATGAGCTTAAGACCACCCTGAGCTACATAATGAGTTCAAGACCAGCCTGAGTTACTAGTAAGACTCTGACTCAAAAAAACACAAAATTACACATGTATTTATTTTGTATTGTAATTATGAAGTTTCAGAACTTCAAATATGTTTTATTTATTAATATATAAAATTCTGTTCAGTAATGTGTATTTATCTGTTGTCACATTTGTGTATCCATCCTTTTGCCTTGATGTTTTTGTCTTTGTAGCTGTGCTCAGTAATGGAAAAGGGGGAAAAAGTGTACAAAGATGGGGAATGTGGACCTTTCTGGGAGGAAATGTACAGTCAGATAAAGTAGTTCTACTTTCAGTAATAATATGATTTGCATTCCTATAGGAGGATAGTGAATGATACCTACAGAACGGATCTGTGCCTACTGTATCCTCCTTTCATGATAGCTTTAGGTATGTAAGTATGGTGTGCCTTTATTTAAATTTTTATAAACCTATGTAAGTCATTATAAATTTCATTTTATTTTTACTTTGTTTTTATGTTCTATGATGTAATAAACTAATCCTTGCATGTGAACTTTCCATAATATATACCACAACTGTCATAAATCAGGATTATTGCACTACTCCACCCTCTTCCATTTTTAGTCTTTTAAATAATTTTAATTTGTCTCACTGTGCATGTTGGCACACAACTGCAATCCCAGCACACCTGTAATCCCAGCATTCGAAAGGTTGAGGCAAGAGATTCATTTTGAGTTCAAGACCAGCCTGGGCTACAAAGTGAGCTCAAGGTCATCCTGAACTGCATAGCAAGACCCTGTCTCGAAAAGGCTAAGTAATAATAATTTTAATCAGTCTAAATAGAACATTTTTGTTTGCTTATGGACAGAAGCTCAAAATTAAGCCTACTAATGTTATATTAGCATATAACTGGGCCTGGTTTTCAATTCCTAAACCTAGCTAAGTACTCAGGGATTGAGTGAAATAGTACCTTTGATTCTGTCTTGCTAGAAAAAGTTATCAGCCATTTCACAGTCTAGGGAAGGCAGAGCAGTAGAGTCTTCAGAGTCATGTGGTCTTAGGTTTAAACTGATTCCTCTACAGTTTTAAGAAGATTATTTAACCTCCCTGAGTTTGTTTCCTTTGTGGATATTAATAACTTCAAATGGAGTCATTTCAAGAGTTAAATGAAAGGCTGGCTAGGTAGCTCAGTAGACTAAAGTGCCTGCTTAGGTAGTTGCAGAGACTGGGATTGAATCTCCAGTGTGCCATTCCCATGCTGGCTAAAACAGCTAATGAGACTGGGCATGATGGCATGCCTGTAATCCCAGCACTTGGGAGGCTGAAAATAGGAGGATCAGCATGAGGCTGATCTGTGTAGTGAGATCCTGTAGACCCTGTAATTAAAAAAAAAAAAGTTAAATGAGATAGCCTATAGAGTACTAAATAGCACCTGCTGTATCCCAGGCATTATAAGGTTCTGTGGCTTTTGCTGCTTCCATGTTCATGACTCAATCCCTTTAGCTTTTCCTATTCTTTCACTAGTCTAAATTTGTTTTTATTGCTTTTCTTTTTTATTTATTCCTTAAATGTTGGTATGTGTTAGCCTTCTTACATCAGGTATGACAAGTAGGTATTACTTATACTTCTGTAGCACTGGCAGATCTTACAAAGTACTGCATATGGAGAGACTCTGAATTAGTGTCTAGGGTCAGTGCTGGGATCCGATAGGCAGGAAAGAGGGGAAACATGTGCTTTGGCTTTGCCATCCCTGTAGCCCTTATTCTTTCTGGTTAGTCTCTCTGCAGCCTCTGCCTTCTCTTATAGGCCAAAACATTTCAATCTATTTAGCCAAGGTCTTGTTCCTAGCATGAATAGCACTACTGTCCATGACTCAGTGCACAGCAAAGGAACACTTGTCAAGAACCTTAATGTGGTCCTGTAATGTTTTTCTCCTTTTTTTTTTTTTTTTTTTGTTTTTGGTGGAACCAGGGATTGAACTCAGGCCGTTGTGCTTGCCAAGCAAGCACTTATTCTACTGAACCTGAGCCATCTCCCCGGCCCTCTACCTATTTCAGATTAATGAGATGGTCAATAGTAATCCCTCAGTGTAGCTATATAATGTTTAAAGTACTATTAGAAAATGTACATGAAATCTGTGAAAATATTTGCTTCTAAGACCTTTTTTGCAGTTATCACTCATTTTCTTTGCAGCTTCTCTACATGTAGCCTCTGTGGTACAGCAGAAAGATGCCAGGCAGTGGTTTGCAGAGCTTTCTGTGGATATGGAGAAGGTATTCTTTAAACTATTTTAACTTAAACATTTAAAAATTAATGTCATTTTTTATGTCATGAGCCTAAAATCATAAGTGTCCATCAGACTAAGATTATTGGTAAAAAATAAGCACGTGTCTGGTGAGAAGATGTTGATTAGTTCATTTTGGCTTAGAGTTAAATAGAATGGTAAACTTTTGATTTGATCGATTGCAAAGTAATCTTGAACTTCCAGGATTATCTTAAAAGCTTCCTAGTGACTGTTAAATACTATTGTGAATTTGTGTAACATCATCAGTCTGTGGCAAAATGATGTTTTCTGCTCACATTTTGAAAATAATAAAATTAATCCAAGACAAGGTCTACTCAGATCAGGAAGAAAGGACTAATTTGGAAACTGGGTTGACAGATTGCAGCTGCCACTTCATCCTAAGTTATATGTACAGTAATTAAAAGAGAAAGCAGTGTCTTAACATGCACTACCTTCCTTTAAATTATTTATGTTTTAATTTTTAAGACAGGGTCTCACTATGTAGTTCAGACTAGCCTTGAATTCACTGTGTAGCTCAGGCTGGCCTGGAACTAAAAGCAGTCCTCCTGCTTCAGCCTCTTAAGGGTTGGGATTAGAGCTTTTCCATGCCCAGCTTTTCCTTATTTTTGAAACAACTAGTATTAGAGAAATGTGCTCTATTGTAGCAGATTCCTTCATGATTAGAATCAGTTTCTAGTACCTTACTATTTTATTTCATTTAAGATGTCAGGAATGAAAGGAAAACAGCCGATACTGGTAAAAATGGATAGGGCAGACATGTTGAAAGATATGATGCTCGGAGGAAAAGCCTAAGTGGCAGGACAGTAAAAATAGTGCTTTCAAATTTGTTGAAATTGAACCAGAGTACTAATGGACAGATTTTTTTACTGCTTTCTGAAGGATGTCTTGCATGTGATATTTGTTCTTCATGTAATAAATATTGCTGATTTTGCCACTGAAAATTTTTCAAATGTTTTTTTTCTAGATTTTGGAAATAATCAGGGTTATTTTAAAATTATATGAACAGTGGAAGAATTTCGATGAGAGAAAAGAGATGGCATCTATTCTTAGTAAGATGCCAAAACCAAAACCACCACCAAACAGGTACTTTGTAGACATTTAATTATTGATCTCATTTTATATATTGTATTCATTTCTGATCTTTCTTAGATTATTTTTCCGTTCTTAAAACTTCTACCAAAACTTCATAATTCTTGTTAATTTTTTAAATTTATGACTTCACAGATTGAAAATGTCTCATTTAAAAAGAAAAACACAATCTGATCATTTTGCTAACATATTGGAGGTCTATTACAGGTATCCCTCAACATATAGCTACATCCTGTACATAAACTCAAGTAGTTCTGTATCAATTTGTCTCTGTGCCTTCTTTTTTTATTCTTTCTCCCCTACTACTGGCTATTACTCTATTTTATAAATTTCAGTAGCAGTTTTCAAAAATTTTGGTGAGTGACACGATAAAGAATTTTGGCTTTGAATGACCCTGTGATCAACAACACAAAAAAAAACATTAATTTTTTTTTTTTTTTAGAGAAATGTGCTCTAAGAGATTTGTTGTTGTTTTAAATGGGATCTGTTTGTTTAATTCAGTGGTTCTGGGCCCTCGCTGTATATCAGATCATTTGGGGTAGGGAAAAAGGTGAGAAAGAAAATAAATGCTGCCCATCTTAATCATTTATCTAGAGAGATAATCATATACATTAACATGGATTTATATATTACTACTGATTAGGTTAATGTTAGAATTTGGAAAGGAATAGTACTTATACAAGGAGCTGTTTAAGGCAGCCATTCAAACAGCTACCTTTGGATGCATTTTTTGCAGAAATTCCATGAGTGATTCTCCACTAGTGGCAGGGCCTGAAGCTTCAAGATGATGGTGGAGAAGATAAGGCAATGATCCTATTGCCACATTTACTGGTATTTTCAGCTTTAGTTGTTATTTTAAATATTGAATATTTTACAAGAAATTACCATTTTTTTCTAACTTAAAAAGTTTGCTGTAATTACGTATAATTTTATGCCATTGTACAACTTTTTTTTAAAAAAAATCACCTTTGATTTTCTTAAATAGTAGAGGATTTTATATGTTTAATTTTATAGGAAACTTGTTCAGAAGAAGCTGTAATCTATGTTGAGTGATACCTGTAATAACAGTGATACCCCATACTCTAAATTTTTTCAGTGTATACGGACACTTAACTTTCAGACTGCTTGTTATGTGTGAAGATACAAAGTTACATATGAATAAAAACATAAAAACAAATGTTAGTCTTCTGGATTTTAATTCTTCCACATCAGTATCTATGATCTGGAATATTTTTGTTTTATAGAGTTATGCCGCAACATAGTGAACTTCAGAAATTAGTTAAGCTTATCTGTGTGCTAGAAATGTGTCTTTTAATTAGTATAAAATCTCTTTCTTCCCCATTTGAACAGTGAAGGAGAGCAGGGTCCAAATGGAAGTCAGAACTCTAGCTACAGCCAATCTTAAAACATTCCGAAGAATTTCATAGTGGACCTCTTGGATATAACCCATTGGACAGATTTCAGTAATGTCTTCAGTGGAACACAAATGAAAATGAATAGCTTGTTTCTGTCAAGCAAAATTGGGAAGTGATTTTATTTTTGAAAAACAGGTTTTTCTTTACTTAATTTTAGTACATGATTGATTAAAATCGCTTCATTATAAAAGGTTAGAAAGGTTCCAAAGGAACCTACAGACATACATAGGCACTTGAAAGTTAATAGCTCTTGTGTAGTATATTATTAATTTGGATAATAGAACTTGTAGCTTTTTAGTGAGGAAACAAAACATTTGTTTAAAATTCTCTTTGGTCATTGAGGGACCAGAAAAGGACCTAAAGAGTCAACATATGAGGTTTTAATCTCTTTAAAACTATTTAATGTATCAGACCTTACAAAATCCTCAAAATAATCAGGGAATTTAATCAAGTACCTATTATTTTTACAATGTATTTTATTGAGTAGTTTTGTTATCTTGCCATGGAAAAACTAGCCCAATCTAGCAGAAGAGTGCAATATGTATAGCATAGTTTTGACATTTTCAAAGTTATATGAATTCCATAACAATTTTGAAGTGCTGGGCAAATTTTAAAAAGTTCACGTCAAAGTATTTACAATTAACAATTAAACAGGCTTTTTCAAAGTTTAATTGGTTAAAACACCATAATTAAAATTTGGTAAAATTTTTGTGTTAATTTTTAATCTGCTATGAAAAGTTTTTTAAATAAAATCAGTATGCCCTAGTTTAATTTTATGTGTTAGTGCAGACATGCAGATTCACAAGGGTGTCCTGAGCCAGGAACACAGTTAGGTTGCAGGCAAGTGTGATCTTGGTATTCTTAATTCTCATGAGTGTAGGATTTCAGGTTAAGTGTTTTGTCAGTGAGACTGTGCTGTCTGTGAAACATAATAAATTAATCATTTTCTTCATACTTGAAGGAGAATGATAAATCTGGAGTCATAGGATATTAATGTACAATTTAAAATTTAAAAATTTTATAGCTTAATTGTGAACAATGGAATAGTCAATGTTGACTTCCTAAAATAAAACAAAAATAAAAGTAAATTCTCCAGCCATGATGACTAGTGTCTTGAATTCATTGTCTTGAATTTGTCACATGTTGTTTTCTGAGAATCTTTTTTTTGGATATGTATTTAAAGCTCCGTTTTCTCATGGCAAGTGTCAGATGAGCTGGAAAGAGTAACTACAGGAGAAAATACTCTTCTCTGATCTGAAGGAGTTAATGTGGCCGTGGGTGGGATGGGCCGAGTAATGATCACAATTAACTATAACTATAAACTTTTCCTTTGAATTTTCCTATATTCCTTTAAATTTTTATTTTTTAAATTAATACATACAACTCATGGTTTTATTTGCAGCTTACAGTAGGAAATCTAAAACAGCATACAAGAACAGATAAAACAATATAATGAACCTCTGTGTACCTGGCAACCAGATTCAGTAATTGCCAACTGATAGCCAGTTTCATTTTGTCTAAATGCCTTTCCACTGCTCAACTCAAATGTTACTTGGAAGCAAATCCCAGACTTCATATTATTTTATCCATAAATATTTCAGTGTGTACTCCTAAAAGATACTGGCTCTTCAAAAAAAAAAAAAAAATCTATTGTGCCTAAAATAAATTAATAAACAGTTTCCTAAATAGCAGAAATTAAGTTCAAGTTTTCAATTATCTTATAAATATCATAATTGTTAACTAGTTTCTTGTTGAGATTTAATTAAGTACTATACATTGTTCTTCCTTTATAAATCTCATTTATGTTTTCTTGTAAAGTCATGCATCTTCCATTTCATTTTTAAAATTTTCCTTTTTATGGGGCCGGGGAGATGGCTCAGTAGGATAAGCGCTTGACTGGCAAACGCAAGGATCTGAGTTCAATCCCCGGTTCCACAAAAAAAAAAAAAAAAAAAAAAATTTCCTTTTTGGATTACTTGTCTACTAGGAGTTTACTGTAACCTGAATTTTGCTGATTGTATTCTTTTTTTTTTTTTTTTTGGTAGTGCGGGGGTGGGGGGTACTGGGGAACGAACTCAGGACCTTGTGCTTGCCAGGCAGGTGCTTATGCCACTGAGCTATATCCTCAGCCCTCTAATTGTATTCTTGACATGCCATTTAACATCGTGTTCTTCTCTATTTTCTATAGATTTGTAAACTGAAGCTACAGCATTCATCTTTAGAGTGTTTTTGGGGGGGTTAATACACTATTGTGAATTTTTGTCTCTTTCTGTAATTTATCATCCATTTCTAATTGCTTTTGTTTTGTTTGACACAAGGTCTCATTTTGTAGTTCAGCTACATAGAACTCACCCTGTCGTCCAGGCTGCCCTCAAACTTTTGTCAATCCTGCTTCACACTCTGACATGCTGATTACAGGCAGGTGCCACCACACCTTGTTGATCATGTATATTGGTTTTTTTTCCCCCTGGAACGGGGGATTGAACTCAGGCCCTTGCACTTAGCCAGGCAAGCACTTATTCTACTGAGCTATCTCCCCAGCCCCTGGGGCTATATTGTTCAAAATTAAATATTACCATAGACTGTGTTGTCCAGTATGGTAGCTACTCATCATTTATGACTTTTGAACATTTAAAATGTGGCCAGTTTTAATTGATATATGCTCAAAATATAAAAATACTGTACACATTGGATTCTAAGTAGTAGTATAAAACAAAATGTAAAATCTCAATTTGTTTATAATGATATGTTTTAAAATGATAGTATTTGGATATACAGAATGAAACAAAACATTGAGATTAAGTTTCCTATTTCGGTTTGTTTTGTTTTTTAATAGAAGACAATTTACAAACACAGGCTTGCCCTGCACAGCTCTGCTACATCATAAGGAAAATGTTAGCTCTCTGTCTCATCCTGCCTGCCTCTTACTCCCACTGTCAGTCTTCCTTTTTGACTGTTATTCCTGCACCACATTTGCATATAACAAGCTTTTAATTGCAGCATTTATTTGACCATGTATTGTGTGTGTAAGCCATTTCTTTTTTTATTTGTTGTTTTGGGGGGGCTTTTTGGTGGAACCAGGGATTAAACTCAGGCCCTTGCACTTGCCAGGGAAGCGCTTATTCCACTGAGCTGTCTCCCCAGCCCCTAAGCCATTTCTTAGAACTGTCACTGTAGAGATGAATCTCAGAAAAAATTAAGTAACAGCCAGAGATGAAAGGATAGATACAGAATTTAGATTATATTCTAATTCTTAAAACCTAGACATGTGAGTTAAAAAAAACTTTGCCATATTTTCTTCTCTGCACCCTCTAGAATTGTTTTTTTCATTTAAAAACAAATTATAACTATTATCTACCAACTTTCTACTATAGAAGGTAAAGGTTAGGTCTTCTTGCACATCTGTCTTCCCCTTTCCCAGTCTGGCCCTTCATGTAGGACTTCTGTCATTATGGTTTTTTTTTTTAATTCATATTCAATATATATGAGGAATACACAGAAAATATAGTACATATCTTCTGTGTACACTAATTTTCATTTAAAATTTTCTTTCTAGAATTAGTGTTTACCTTGGAATCAGTATTTAACTTTGATTTCGTCTTTGCTGAGACAAAATGTTTGACACAACTTAGGTTTATTTTGGCTCACAGTTTGTAAAGGTTTCAGTCTCTAGCAGACTGGCTCCACGGTCAGGCAGCCTGGCCCGCAGGAAGCAGAGAGAACAAGGAGAATGACCTGCCAGGCCGCACTCCCAGTGACCATCTCTGGCAGGCTGTACCTCCCAGCGTTATGCATGCTGTAGAGTAAACCTGGACTTGGGCTGACCCACTGAAGACTTCTGTGCTGCCACGATCCAGTCACCTCCGCTAAGCTCCAGCTGCGCGTGCATGAGGCTTTGGGGGAGATCTAGATACCAACTATAATGAATATCTTACGCGGATTTCTCTCTCGTCCTTTCCCTTTTTATCCTTGTTCCTCAAGCTTGTGGCACCAAAGAAGATTGGCAAAACTTTATTTTTCCATTAATAAATTGCTGTCCTTACAGATATTAAGCAGTATTTTTTACTTGGACACCAAGAAAAGCATTGACTTTTCCATCTGTTTTTAGTAATGTAAACTTTTTGTACATAAGCTGCTGGCTTGCCTACCTCTGTGTGGTATTCTGACAGCATATGTATACTAAGTAGTAAAAGGGTGCAGAATCCAAGAGGCCCCACTCAGATCTTAAGGCAGGTTAAAAAAGACAGGATGAATAAAGAAACCTGACACTGATTAATTCACAAATCTCCACTGGTAGCACTTTTTCCACGGCTGCTTCTATTTGATTATGAAAGTGATACAGAATACATTTGATATTTTGTGAAAATAATTTCACTTTCCTCAAGTATTTCTAAAACTTGATCTTATCACAGTAAAAACAATCTTTCAGGGCTGGAGAGATGGCTCAGTGGTCTAAAGCACCTACTTGGAACAAGCTTGGCAAAGCACAGGGACCGTGGTTCCATCCCCCAGCACCACATGCCAGCCACCCCCGCCCCCAGGTGGGCTGAGCTGGCCACACACACACACACACAATTAAGTCAAAAAATTTCCATGATTGGAGCAAAGTAGGCTTCAATTAAATGATAGATTACATCATGTTGTATTTTTACATTTTGAGGCCTGTGATACTACACAGTAGAGCTTTTAGTACATTCTGTTTTACAGGTGAGTGCAGTTTAAGAAATAATTTGGCCAGGCATGGTGGCACACACTTTTAATCCCAGCACTCAACAGGATAGGCAGCAGGATCTCTGAATTTGAGGCCAGCGTGGTCTAAAAAGTGAGTTCAAGACCAGCCGGAACTGCATACTCTGTCTTTTTTGAAAAGTAATAATAACTATTAAATTTTTACTTCAGAATAATTGGCCACTAAATTGTCTATAAAATTGATCTAATACAGAAAATGCATTAGTCTACTTTTTAACCCTTTGCTTCAAAAAGGTGGAAGTACAAAAATGGCTTCAAAAAGGTGGAAGTACAAAAATGTTTCAGGAATCTAAAAATAAGTTTAGATGAGGATAATAATGCCCACTGCTACCCCATGCATACAGTAGCTTGTTCACTCACCACACAGATACAGCATTAACTACTGTTAACGCTTGCATGCCCCTTTCTCATTCCCAAGCGGACACTCACCTAGAGACACTAATTCCAGACTTCAGTGCTCAAGGCAGATCCCAACTCCCGCTCTGCTGACCACTGCAGATGTGGTAAGCTTTCTTCCCTTTCTGGGCTTCTCACACTGCACCTCGTGATAACACACACACACACACACACACAGAGCCTCTTGCTGCCCACTGCATAGCCACAGCCACTTTAACTTTTTTTTTTAATAATTTTATTGAAAAAATAATTTATTGAGTAGCTGTCAGCATTTAACCCCCTCTGCATCAAACATCTTCCCTTTGCTGTGGACATCGCCTAGTTCTGCTCTCCTCACCCTTTGGGACAGAAAAAGACTTGGTCCTGCTCTGTGCCTTTAAAGCCAACACTAACCACGGAACCACGGACAGACGGGGGTCCCCTTGGTGATTCATCAGCTGTGGTGACAGCGGCCTTACTCATTTACCATGTAGCTGTATGGCCTCAGCACAGCTGAAGATACTTAGTACCACAGTTATCGTTCTCTGTTCTATTCCCATTCCTCACCCTTAGCCTGTTTTCTTTTTTTTTTT